ATATTTTTTATCTTTTTTTTTCTCCGGATCAAATTTTTTTTTTGGTGAGGCAATTGGGGTTAAGTGACACCCAGAGTCACACAACCAGTAAGTGTTATCTGTCTGAGGTCAAATTTGAACTCAGGTCCTCCTGACTCCAGGGCCTATGCTTTATCTACTGCACCATCCAGTCCCGTTCCCCCCCCCCCCGCCCTGACCTGATCAATTTTGTTATTATTCTTTCTACCCTATAAAGTAATTTTTTTGGTAGTTTGATTGGTGTGACATTAAATAGGTAAATTAATTTATGTAGTTTTGTCATTTTGATTTTATTGGCTCAGCCTAACCATGAAGAATATTTCTCCAATTATTTAGATCTGCCTTTATTTATGTAAAGAGTATTTCTTTTGTTCACACAGTTGTGTGTTCACACAGTTCCTGTGTGTGTCTTGGCAGGTAGACTGCCAAGTATTTTATAATATCTGTAATTTTAAATGGAATTCTCTTTCTTTGTCTTCTTGCTAACATACAGACATGCTGATTATTTGTGTGGGTTTATTTTATATCCTCAACTTTGCTGAAGTTGTTAATTGTATCAGTTTATCTTTTAGTTGACTCATTAAAGTTCTTTAAGTAAACCATCATGTCATTTGTGAAAGGTGATAGTTGTCTTTTTTCTTTGCTTTGCTTATTCCTTTAATTTCTTTTTCTTGTTTTAGTTAGCATTTCTAGCATTATACTGAATAGTAATCATGATAGTGGATATTCTTTCTTCACCCCTGATATTTGAAAAGTTCATAGCTTACCCCCATTATAGTAATACTTGCCCTTGGTTTAGAGCAGCTAGGTGGCACAGTAGATAGAGTGACAGACCTGAAGTCAGGAAGACTCATCTTCCTGAGTTCAAATCCCACCTCAGATTCTTATTAGCTGTGTGATGCTGGGTAAATCACTTATAACCCTGTTTGCCTCAGTTCTTCATCTCTAAAATGAGCTGGAGAAGGAAATGGCAAACCACTCCAGTACCTTTGCCAAGAAAACTCCAAATGGGGTCATAAAGAGTCAAATACAACAAAATAACAAGTTACCATTTTAAGGAAAGTTCCATTTATTCCTATGCTTTCGTGTGTGTGTGTGTGTGTGTGTGTGTATTTAACAGGAATGGATGTTGTATTTTGTCTAAAGCTTTTTTTATATCTATTGAAATAATTGTGCTTTTTGTTGATCTTGTTGTTAATATGGTCAATTATGCTCATAATTTTCCTAATATTGAACCACCTCTGCATTCCTGGTATAAATCCAGTCTGGTCATAGTATATATATGATCTTTGTGGTATATTGCTCTAGGCTGCTTGTGAATGTTTTGTTTAAATTTTTCACATGAATATTCATTAAGGAAATTGGTCTATAGTTTTTCACTTATGTCATAGAAGGAATTTTGTAGGATTTCTTATTTGCTTATTTTTTCAAACAGTTTATGTAGTATTGGAATTAATTGTTCCAGTGTTGAGTAGAATTCACTTGTGAATCCACCTGGTCCTGTGGTCCTTTGGGATTTCATTCATGGATTATTCAATTTCTTTTTTCTAAGATAGGGTAGATTTCTTTTTCTAAAATATTTCTATTTAAGTATTATATTTCCTGTTCCATTAATTTGGGTAATTTATGTTTTTGTAAATATTCATATATTTCACTTACACTGTCAGGTTTATTGCTATATAGTTGGGCAAAATAACTCCTAAATAGCTCTTTATTTCTTCATTAGTTGGAATTTATTTTTCATTTTTTTATACTGGTAATTTGCCTTTTTTCTTTATTTTTCTTAATCAAATTAACTAATGATTTCTCTATTTTATTTTTTTGCTTTCCCCCCCCAAAAATTAGCACCTAGTTTTATTTATTAATTTAATCAATTAATCAAAAATTAATTCATTAATTTTTACTTTCAATTTTGTTAACCTCCTCTTTTATTTTCAGGTTTTCTATTTTGATGTTTAATTGGGGAGTTTTGATTTGTTAGTTTTTTAGACTTTTTTAGTTGCATGCCCAATTTGTTGATCTGCTTTCTCTCTCTTTAATTGATGAAAGAGTTTAGAAATTTAAATTTTCCTCTAATTGTTGCTTTAGCCACATACAAATTTTGTTAGATTGTCTCATTTTTGTCATTGTCTTTAATGAAATTATTAATTGTTTCTATGCCCTACCCATTCCTTAGGATTAAGTTATTTAGTTTCCAAAGGGTCTTTTGCTTCAAAGACCTTTTATTTAATATAATTTCTATTTCATTATGGTCAATAAAAGTTGATTGACTATTTTTGCTTTTCTGCATTTGTGAGGTTTTAATGCCCTAATACATGGTCAATTTTTGTGAATGTGCCATGCATATTTGAGAAATAGGTATATTTATTTCTATTCCCATTCAATATTCTTCAGAAATCTAGCATATCTAACTTTTCTAAAATTCTGTTCTGGTCCTTAACTTCTTTCTTGTTTATTTTTTGATTCCATTTATCTAGATCTGAGAGGGGTAAATTGAGGTCTCCCACTAATATACCTATATATTGCATATTTCTTCTTGTAACTCATTTAATATTCCCTTAAAAAAATGCCACACCATTTGTTACTTTTACCTATTTATTTTTTTCTTTGTGAGGCAATTGGGGTTAAGTGATTTGCCCAGGGTCACACAGCTAGTAAATGTCAAGTGTCTGGTCTGAGACTGGATTTGAACTCAGATCTTCCTGACTCCAGGGCCAGTCCTCTATCCACTGTGCCTCCTACCTGCCCCTCATTTGGTACTTTTAAGTTCAGTATTGATATAAGTTTATTGTCTATGGTACCTTTTAGCAAAATGTAGGTTTTTGGGGCAGCTAGGTGGCGCAGTGGATAAAGCACTGTCCCTGGAGTCAGGAGGACTTCAGTTCAAATTTGGCCATAGACATTTGATACTAGCTTTGTGTGACCCTGGGCAAGTCACTTAACCCTGATTGCCTTGCCAAAAAACAAAACAAAACAACTTTTTTTTGCTTATCTCTTTTAATTAGGTCTATTTTTCATTCTGTTTTGTCTGAGACTATGATTGCTACTCCTGTCTTTTTTACGTAAGCTGAAGTGTGATGGATTCTGCTCTAGCTCCTTATTTTAATTCTATGTATAACTTTCTGTTTCAAGTGTATTTCTTGTAAACAACATATTGGATTCTAATTTGTAATCTAGTCTGCTATCTTTTTCCTTTTTGTGGGTGAGTTCATTCCATTCACATTCACAGTTATGATTGCTAACTATGTATTTACCTTCATCCTATTCTCTTATACTTCTTTTTTTCCTCCTGCCTCCTCTTTAAGAGTCTCTTTTTACTTCTGACTAATGTATCCCTTAATCTACTTTCCCTATTCCCCCCCCTTAACTCTTTTCCTTCCCATTTTCCTGCTGAGCAGGATATATTTATATGCCCATTTATGAATGTACGTGTATTCATCCATCCTTTAACCAATTTAGATGTGAGTGAGGTTCAAGGTGTCATCTGCTCCTATTCTACTGCTCCCTTTTTGTTGTATAAACTACACTTTGTGCACTCCCATTTATGTAAGATAATTTCCGCCATTCTTCATTTCCATTCTTCACTCTTCTAGTACATTTCTTTTCCCCACCCATTCCCTTCTTAGTTTGAGATTATCCAAACACAACAGAGTCCCACTCAGGCCCTCTGTCTAATTAGTTAGACTCCTTCTGTGGCCCCTGGTGATGATAAAGTTCTGAGAACGTACATGTATCATTTACCCATATAAGAATGTAAAACAGTTTATTCTTGTTTAGTTCCTTATGATTTCTGATGTTTGCCTTTTTATATTTCTCTTTACTCCTGTGTTTCTACTTCAGAGTTTCTCTATAGCTCTGGTCTTTTCATTGGGAGTGCTTGGAAGTCCTCTATTTTGTTAAAAGTCCAATTTTCCCCCTGCAGAATTATACTCAGTTTTTCTGAGTAAGTTATTCTTGGTTATAAGCCTAGATCCTTTGCCTCTTAGAGTGTTGTAGTCCAAGTTCTATGTTTCTTTTCAATGGTGGCTACTAAATTGTGTGTGACCTGATTGTGACTCCTTAGTACTTTAATTCTTTCTTTTGGCTTCTTGAGGTATTTTTTCCTTGACCTGGGAGCTGTGGATTTAGGTTATAATATTTCTTGGACTTTTCATTTTGGATTTTTAAAAAATACTTAATAGTATTTTATTTTTTTCCAATTACATGTCAATATAGTTTTCAACATTCATTTTTATAAGATTTTGAGCTCCAAATTTTTCTCCCTCCCCCTCCCTCCCCAAGACAGCAAGCAATCTGATATAGATCAATCATATTAAACATATTCACACATTAGTCATGTTGTGAAAGAAGAATCAGAACAAAAGGGAAAAACCACAAGAAAGAAAAAACAAAAAAAAAGCAGAAAAAAATAGGTTTGGACTAGATGATTTCAAAGGTCCTTTTCAACTCTAAAATACTATGATTCTTTTTTTAAAAATAAGTTTTTGTTAATGTCTTTTTTCATTAGTCACCACAGTTTCCTCCAGCATCTGTCTGCCTCTCTCCTCCCAGTGAGTCATTCCATAAAACAAATAGTATTTTTTTAAAGACAAAAAAGAATAAGGAGAAAAAAAATCAGTATTACTGATTCATACATTGAAAGGTCTGAGAATAGGTACAATGTGCAGCATTTGTGGACCTCCCACCTCTGCAAAGGTGTGGAATGGGACTGTTTTCTCTTGTCTCTTCTTTTGAGCCATGCATGTTCTTTATAATTTTTCAACATTCACTTATGATTGTGTGTGTGTGTGTGTGTGTGTGTGGTGGTTCATTCTATTTTCATTTTTGCAATCATTGTATAGATTGTTTTCTCAGCCCTGATTGCTTCACTCTGCATCAGTTCATGTAGATCAGTTTGTGCTTCTCTGTATCCATCCCATTCATCATGCTTTGAGGATAGATCTTCCCTGATTATGATGTTCTTCCTTATTCCTCTTCCCTAGAAAAGTTGCCAGACTGTCAGCATTTCCACTTCAGAAGATGCCTGCCAAGCCCGCGAACAGGTTGATGCAGAGGTGCAAACTGACCCACCTTCTCCTGTGGCCCTACGCTATACATCTCAGCAAGATCTCCCTGGGCTGGCCTCCTTCCTTTACCGGGTAGAAAATCTTATCATCCGTGAGCTGGATAAGAATTGGCAGAGCCATGCATTTGATGGCTTCGAGGTGAACTGGACAGAGCAGCAGCAGACGGTATGGAGGGATGGGGAACAAAGATGGCTATTGGGTTCCCCATATTCTCTGAAAATTCCAAGGCCTCTTTATCTCCTCCCAGTTTTATTTCCTGCTTTGAGGTCTTCCCATTAGAACTTCTGCAAGCCTCTAGATCTTACAATTGTTATTTAGTGAAAATGGTTATCTGGCCCTAAAGAATTCTGAGAACCTGAGACCCAGGGAAGTTTGAATGATATTTTTTCCCCTCAGTTCTGGGCAAGGAAGTGGGCTTTCCATTCAATTCTTTGTCTCTAATCTTGGCTTACCTTCCCAGGGTGACTGAGGGGAAGAACTCAGTTTAATAAAGACACTTGACTGCAAATATAAAAATATTCATTGAAATAATTTGAAGATGACCATGTTTGCTTTACTAATTCTTCTGCTGTTTGGGTCCTGTGGGATTACTTTTCTTTCTGGATTGCAAGTTTTCTGTCTAGCCTTAAGCAACAAAATTTATTTTATTTTTACCATTTGGAGTGAAAAGTTTTCTAAAATATGTCACACATTTCCCTCCCTACTTAAATGGAGAATATAACACAGAATGTCACCTCTTTTTAAAAATGTTTTATTGATGTTCTATTTTTGGTAAACATTTTTTATTGAAGATTTCAATCATCTTTGAACATGGAAGACAACACTGATGTACAGTGATTCTCAGTGGGATTTTCTCTTGGCTTATCATGAAGGCACAGATCTTCTCCTTTTGATCTAGATTTTCCTTTTCCTGTTTGTACATAATTTTAAAATCAGCCTAGCTTTGTAATTTATACAGCATATTCTTCTGCTTGTGAGATTCCAACTTTGTTGTCAATTAGAAATAGTGATTTACCTTTATCAATTGTGGTATAAGTTTGCACTGAGGCTTTGAGGTCAGAATTATAAATTATAGGTTTTAGAATTTGTTTGTACATCATATGCATTTAATGGACAGAATTAAATATGCTACATCAATTCCCGAAAATCTGGGATATTTCCCTCCTCCTCCAAATTTCCATGAGATACTATGATATCTTACATTGGCAGTTAAGGGGTTGATGGGATTAGACTATGTATGATGAACTCTGCTAGTATGGCAAAGGAGAAAATAGCCTACTTGCATATTAATGAGAAATACATCTTTGAGTCAAGAGAGTCGAAAAAAGATGTCAGTAAACCAACTAAAACAGAAAAGGGCTTATTTTAAATATATCCACAACTTAAAACTAAGTCACAGAGATTGACAAGTCCCTGAGGCCAGTATCTGATTTTCATAGTGATTTTAAGAATTTCCAAGAGAAGCTGCTAACAGGTACTGCCAGGTCTTTACTCTGCAGCCTCTTCTGTGTATATGGCTACATTATTTCCACAAAAAAATTTAATTTTTAAAATTTAAATTTAAACCCAATTCCTGCTATGTTCAGACTTTCATCTAAGATGTTACTAAGATCATGATTAGGAAAGATCTTTGGGGGTGCGCATCATCCTATCTAGTAGCATGACACAGGTATTGATAAATTCAAGGACACATTAATTAGTGTTATGAGACTAGGGACCCAATCTTTGAGTGTATAAGAGAAATTATTGCAAATACTATGTTCTTTGTCCTTTCTTTCTCTGATGGGGCTTAAGTGAAGGAGAAAAGATTCATCATCTAGTTTGTGCTCAGGCCTAGCTTGGTTCTTCATACTGAGACTTGAGATACAGTGATCTGGAAAATTTCCTTAGCTTGTTCTGGGTTGGAAGTCCACAACTTTGTAGGGGAGTGAGGGCCACTGGAGGTAGGTGAATCTTGGATATGGGATCTGTTAATATAATCCTATTTCATTTCTTACTCTGCATTCATCTGTATACATTGTTTAATCAATTTTGAATCCATAAGATTTTTGTTTTTCTGGAAAACGTACTGGCTTCATTTATAATGTGCTGCTTTTCTCTGATGGTGTCCTCCCTCTGCCCCAATGCATGCTACCTCCTTGCAAGCCTGAAAATCCTGTGGTACAGGCTGAGAACTTCTTGTCATGTTGCTGTTGTCATCTCTGAGTCCCCCCTGTGCTTTCTCCAATCCTCCTTAAACAAGGTCCTCATCAAGATTGTGAAGTAGACTTATCAACTGTGTCTATCACACCTCCCCCCGCCCCAAACACACACATACACAGACAGTACCGGGGTGAGAAGAGGGAGCATCTGGAGCTTTATGGAGCCAGCGCGGACAGACCAGGGACTGGTGTGATGCTCTATTTTTTACATCACTTTCACTTCCCAATGACTTTCCTTCTCCCCCAAAAGAACCCTCTCTTATAAGAAATAAATACAGTTTAGTGAAACAAATGAACATATTGGCCGTGTTTGAAATTGTATGCCTCATTCTGCAAGTATAATCCAACATCTTCCTCTCTGCCAGAAACTGAGGATGGGCTTCACTTTCAGTCTTTTGAAGTCCTTACTACTCAATGTATTGATTGAGAGCTCTGAAGGCTTTCACTGTTCTTTTCCTACACTTTATTGTGGTCAGTATGTAAATGATTCTCCTGGCTCTGCTTACTTCATACAAGTCTCCCCAAGTCTCACTGAATTCTTCAAAAATAATACTTCCTTAAAAATTCACGGTCATCTTTGTGAAACATCCATTGTTGGACCATACCTTGTAGATGCTGAAGTATACAAGGCTGTTTGTCCCTAAGCTAAATGGTGCTCGATCATTGTGCTTTTGGAGTTTTGCATTTGCTTTTTGAATTTTCATCTGCTTTTTAAAAACCGTATTTTTCCCCATGAATTTGTTTCATTCTATTGTTCAGCATGTGTGATTCTTCTAGATTTGTGCTATTGTGAAGAGTATCTTCCAGTAGACTCCTTCCCTTTACTGACTTCCCCCAGAAACAAACAGACTAACCTTCTACCCCCACATGCTTTGGTTATTTCCTTGGGATTTTTTTTCCTTAAAGAGGAATTAATGTTTGCTTGTGTGTGTGTATATGCGCGAACATGCATGCATGTAAATCTCAGAGGGCCCTTGATTTATTTTTAGCATTTAATTTGTTTCTTCTACCCCCCATTTAATTAAAATTTTTCCAATTAACAAACATTATTTTCCTCTTCCACTCACCCCTCCCTCAGATGAACAATAAAAAAAGAAAAAGGAAACTCTTATAACAAATATGCATTGTCAAACAAAACAAATTCCCACATTGGCTATGTGCAGAAATATATGTCTCACTCTAAATTAAAAGTTCATCACTTCTCTTTGGTCTCTGGAAGCATGATTCATCAGTGCCTTCATCAGAGATCTAAAATCTCTTAAAGTAGTTTTTCTTTGTAATATTTTCATTGTATAACTTGTTCTCCTAATTCTGCTCACTTCAGTACACATCATTTCATAGAGATCTTTTCAGTTTCCCCAGAAACTTTCAATTTCTTCATGTCTCATGGCATAGCAGTGTTCCATTACATTCACATACCATAATTTGTTTAACTGTTCCCAATTAAGTGGACATGCCTTTAATTTCTAGGTCTTTCCTATTATGAAAAGAGCTACTGTAAATATTTTTGTATATATGGGTCTTTTCATCATTTTTAAATTTCTTTGGGTATAGGCCTAGTAGTGGTATCATTGTATAACAGTTTAATGACTTTTTGAGTATAATTCCAAATTGCTGTCCAGAATGGCTGTACCATTTCACAGCTCTGTCATCATCATTCTCATCCTTATCAAATATAATATAATGTAATATAATGTAATGTAATATAATATAAGGTAATATAATATAATGTAATAATATATGATATGATATGAGTTAATATGATATGATATAATATGATGTGGTATGTGATGTGATGATATGACATATGATGTAATATATTATGGCATAACATAATATAATAATATAATTAAAATATATAACTGTATAAATAGAATCATAATATGCACTACCATTTAATTATTACTTATATTAATAACAGTAACTAGCATTTATATAGTACTTTAAGGCTTTTTAAAAATTTATTTATTTTGAGTTATTAACAATCACTTCTATAAGCTTTTGAGTTTTAAATTTTTCTTTCCTCCCTACCTCCCTCTCCAATATGGCACGCAATCTGATATAGGCTATACATATACATTCCTATTAATCACATTTTCACATTAGTCATGTTGTATAAGGAAGAATTAGAACCAATAGAAAGAGGAAATGAAACAAAATGGAAGAAAAAAAAGAGCAAATGGTACGCTTTGATCTTCATTGAAACTCCATAGTTCTTTCTTTGGATGTGGACAGCATTTTCCATCATGAGACTTTTAGAGGTGTCTTAGATCCTTGCATTCCTTTTTTCTTTTTCTTTTTTCTTTTTTTTAAGCAATTGTGGTTAAGTGACTTGCCCAGGGTCACACAGCTAGTAAGTGTCAAGTGTTTGGTCTGAGGCTAGATTTGAACTCAGGTCCTCCTGACTTCAGGGCCGGTGCTCTATCCACTCCGCCACCTAGCTTCCCCAGATCCTTGCATTCCTGAGAAGGGCTAAGTCTATCAAAGTTAGTCATTGCACAAGGTGGCTGTTACTGTGTACAACGTTCTCCTGGTTCTGCTCACTTTGCTTAGCATCAGTCCATACAAGTCTTTCCAGGTTTTTCTGAAGTCTGCCTGCTCATCATTTCTTACAGCACAATAGAATTCCATTACATTCATATACCACAACTTGTTCAGTCATTCCCCAATTGATGAGCATGCCCTCAATTTCCAATTCTTTGCCACCACAAAAAGAGCTACTATAAATATTTTTGTACATGTGGGTCCTTTTCCCATTTTTCTGGTCTCTTTGGGATACAGCCCTAGAAGTGCTTTAAGATTTGCAAAGCACTTTTTGCATGTTAGCTCACTTTATCTTCATGATAACCCTGAGACATGCTATTATGATCTCTGTAGATGCAGACAAGTTAAGTCATTTGCCCAGGGTCACATGGCTAGTAGGTATCTGAGGCAGGATTTGAATTAAGGACTTCCTGACTTTAGGTCTGGCATTCCATTGAACCACATAGCTATATTAACAATACATTAGTGTGCCTGTTCCTAGTAAGTCCTCCAACATTTGTCATTTTCCTTTTTTGTCATATCTGCCAAGCTGACAGGTATGAGGAGTGACTTTAATTTGCATTTCTCTAATTATTAGTGATTAGTAATATTTTTACACATGGTTATTGATAGATTGGATTTTTTCTTTAGAAACTTCATATTCTTTAACCATTAACTGGGCAACGGCTGTGATTCTTATAAATTTGAATCAGTTCCTTATTTATCTTAGAAATGAGACCTTTGTCAGAGAAACTTGCTGCAAAAAGTTTTTCCTTGTTACCTGTTTCCTTTCTAATTTTAACTGCATTGCTATTGTTTGTGTAAACACTTTTAAAATTTTATATGATCAAAATTGGCCATTTTATCTTCTCTTAGCCTCTCTTTTTTGGCCCTAAATGTTTTCCTTACTTATAGATCTGAAGGGTTAGGGGACTCCTTCCCTTCTCCCTCCAAGCCTTCCACTTTTTGGTTGTTTCATTAGAGTCTTGTCGTTGCTACCATCATAACATCTCTCGAAGCTCTCCTTTCCTTTCCTGAGACTGTCCCTACCCTGGTGCCAGCCTTCATCACCTCGAGCCTGGACTGTTGCAATAGGCTGCTGGTTGTTCTCCCTACCTCCAGCCTCCCCCCACTCCAGGCCACCCTCCCCTCAGCTGTCAAAGTGGTCATCCTCAAGCAGAGGTCTGACTGTGCCATCTCCTACTCAGTAAACTCCAGTGGCTCCCTATTACCTCCAGGATCAAATATAAAATTCTCTGTTGGCTTTTAAAGCCCTTCACAACTGGCTCTTTCCTACTCTTCTAGTCTTCTTTACACTTTCCTCCCCCCTTTGTACTCTGTGACCTAGTGACCTCAGTCTTCTTGCTTTTCTTCACACACAATACTACATGTCCCAGCTCTGCCTTTTTCCCTGGCTGTCCCATTTACCCAACCTTAATCACCGAATGGGTGTAGCCTCAGACAAACTGAGACCTGTTAAAGACCTTAGCTTGGGAAGGCCAAGTTCTCCCACTGCATCCTGGGCCATCTCCAGTCATCCTGATCAATTATCAGCCGTTGGGCCCAGATAGCTCTGGAGGAGAAGGTGAGGCTGGCGACTTTGCCCAGCCCTCCCTCACTTCAATCCAATTCACTTACATGTCATGGCATCACCTCCCTGATGTCATGGTCCTCTTGGAGAACAATGGACAAACAACGACAACAACAACTTCCTCTTGGTCCCCTTCCTTGTTTTTCTGGCTTCATTAACATCTCAGCTCAAGTCCTACTTTTTGTAAGAGGCTCTTCCAGTTCCCTCTTAATGCTGGTGCCTTCCCTCTGTGATTGCCTTCAATTTAATCTGTCTGTATCTTCATGTTGTCTCCCCCAGTAAATGTGAGCTCCTTGAGGGCAGGGTTTATTTTTGCCTCTCTTTGTATCCCCAGCATTTAGCACAGTGCCTGGCATTTAGTAAGTATTTAGTAAATGTTGCATTTGTTCCCCAAGGTGGAATTACTTTTGTTTTTTACAATTTTTCTGTGATTTACCTTATTGTCAAGATGCCATCTATCACTCATAGGATTGTAAAAGATGGTTAGGATTTCAGGAATCATTTAGTCTGACTTGTAGCTAGAGAAGATTTCTTTGTAACTACAGTGTAGCAATAGTGCTACATGTGTGCTACATGCTTGCTACAGTGGCCCGCCTTCCTGTTTCTGATTTGCTCCCCCTAGGGAGTAATGCTAATAAATATTTAAGGATAGGGACTGGACCTGGAATTTTATTGATATGAGTAATTTCTGGATGAAGATTTTCCTATACCAATACAGATTGGCACCTTTTCTTCAATTTATGGCCTAGGAGATTTGACTTGAGCCTTGAGAGGTTAAGTGATTTGCCCAAGGTCACATAGCCAAACTGTCAGCTGTGGGACTTGAACCCAAGTCTTTCTGACTTGCAGCCAGGAGTTCTCCATTCACTTAGTATACTGCCTTTCTGCTGAGTAGATCTCTAAGCTGGTTAGAATAGTGCATAAAATAGGGGCCCGCAGAGTGTGATGGGCTTCAGTGAGGAAAAGCAAGATGTGTTAGTGCATTGACTTGGTGACCTAGTTGTTTAGAGGACTTTTGGACTTCTTTCATAGTACTTTGCTTTGTTCCGCATAGAAGATGCATTAACTATTTGACTGTTTTTCTCTCTTGTGCAGAGCAGAAATATCAGGGAAACATTTGGAGCAGGCTTGTAAAATCTCTGTATTTCTTTGCAAGGTTGCATTCTTCAATCTGGAAGGGGCTTCACTTCGGGCACAGAGATGCCTCATCCCCCTGGGCTAAGGAACATGTGACTTTTTTGTTTGGCAGGTGACCTGCCAGCACACCCTGTGCTACCCCCTGGCCCAGGCTCAGAAGCTGCAGGTGACCAGCGTCTCCTGGAATGCCACTGGCTCAGTGGTGGCATGTTCCTATGGTCGGTGAGTATCTGTGAGGGGGACATTTGGAGCTTAAACTAATTTGGGGCTTAAGCAGGGTCTAGCCTCAGCTCTGCCACTGATCTGCTTTATGATCTTGGATAAATTACTTTATCTTTCTGGACTCTGGATCTTATTTTATTATTCTCAATGCACAAAAATCTATTTTCTCCCCTTCCCCTCATTGAAAACAAAAGAAAATAGAAAAACTAAACCCTTGTAACAAACGTGCATAATCTAACAAAACAGATTCCTGCATTGGTTATGTCCAAAAATGTATATTTCATTCTGTACTCTGAGCCCATCACCTCTGTGTCAGCAGGTGGGTAGCAATATCATCAGTATCCTGGCATCATGGAGATAAGCTGGGCAAAACTTAGAAACTGACTAGAGAGAGAAGAGTCAGAGATGACTATGAAGCTGGAAACCTGAGAGACTAGAAAGCTATTGATCTCATCAACAGAACTGGGGAAGTTTGGACTGTGAATTCCATTTTGGACATGTTGAATTTAAGATGCATATAGGACATCCAGGGGCAGCTAGGTGGCGCCATAGTGCATAGAGTGCCAGGCCTGAAGTCAGGAAGACTCATCTTCCTGAGTTCAAATCTGACCTCAGACACTTACTAGCTGTGTGACTCTGGGCAAGTCACTTAACCTTGTTTGCCTCAGTGTCCTCATCTGTAAAATGAACTGGAGAAGGAAATGGCAAACCACTCCGGTGTCTTTGCAAAGAAAATCCCAAATGGGGTCATGAAGAGTTGCGCGTGATTGAAATGACTGAACAACAATAGGATATCCAAGTGGAGGGACAGTTGATAATAAAGAACTGGAGTCAGGAGAGAATTGGAGGTAGGATATATAGTTTTTGGATTTATCTGCATAGACACAATAATTGAACCCATGGGAGTGGATGAGCTCACCAAAGGAGAGCACGTAGTGAGAGAAGGCCAAGGGAAGAGGCTTGGGGGATGCCCATACTTGGGGGGCAGAGCTCCAGAAGAGGCCATCAGACTTGCAGGAAGGAAACCAGGAGAGAACGGTGGCATGGAAGTTGTGGGAGGAGAGAATGCCTGGGGAAGGGCATGGTCAGTAGCATTAAAAATTGCAGAGAGGTTGAGTAAAATGAGGTCTGAATAGAACCATTGAATTCAGTAGTTAAAAGGTTGTTGGGAACTTTTGGCGCTAGCCCATCTGCTGGTGGGATCAGAAACCAGATTTCAGTGAACACCTCCATTGGTGAAGAATTCACCATTTCATAAGGTAGTCCGTTCCATTTTTGGACAGCACTAACTGTTTGAAAATTCTCCCTTCTATTGTACTAAATTCAGTAGTTCCAGTAAGTTCTCCCCGTTAGGGGCCAAGCAGAGTAAGTCTTTTCCGCTTGACAGCTCTCCAAAAACTTGAATGTGCCCATCCTAACTTCTCTCATCATCTCTTCTCCAGGCTAAAGATTTCTTAGTCCCTTTCCTTAATCCTTATATGGCATGCTTTTGAGTTTCCTCAGCATTCTGTTCACTCTTCTCTGGACTTGTTTTGGCCTGTCTTTGGTCTTCCTAAAACGTGGCACTCAAGCTTGAAACAGTCTTCCCGATGGGTTCTGCTCCAGGTGGAGCACAGTGGAACTGTAGCCTCCCTCATAGAGGACACTGCCCCAAAGTTCAGGCAGCTCACATGGCTGGTGCGTCACACGTGTTGGGCTTAGAGCCAGTATAACCACCAGCACTTTGACGTGACCCACCGTCTTGCTACATCTCATCCATTTTGTACTGGGAGAGCTGATTTTTTGAACCCAAGTGCAAGAGAGAGTATTTATCCCTTTGATTACATTCACTCCATCATCCTAGGCTGCTGAAATTCTTTTGGATCCCAGTTCTGTCAGCTACCCTATAGGTCATCTTTATCATTTTGTGTATCACCAATGGGTGATAAGCATGCCATCTATGTCTTCATTTAAACCACTGATAAAAATGTTGAACAGTATGTGTCACTTTCAGCTTGAATACATTGTGATCCTTTTAACTTGTCCATTTGCTAGGCTGGGCCAGGCCAGTCAGAAAGCAGGGATGTGAGAGAGTATTGGAGAGGGGATGGGGTCTGTTTACTCAGAACAAGGATCTTCCTGGCCCCCAGGACCTAGTGGGTTATTGTTACTGTTGTTGCTGCTGCTGTTACTATTATTACCATTATTTCTACTTCATCTTCAGTGGGATTCAGATGGAAATGGTCCTGGGACAAGTTGCCATCGTGCTAGTATTCTTTAATATTTAATGTTTTATTGCACAGGTAATTAAAGTAGCTGTTTTTTTTGTTGTTGAGTAAAAGTATTGGGATGTTTAGCTCATCCTCTGTAGGTTTGCTGAAAGCATCCTTGGCACAACTTCAGAAACAGGTAGGACAAGATGACATGTACCGACCTCATCCTGTTTTAACATAACATTGACCTCCTCTGCTAGATCTCTATATTTTGAAAGCTATTTATTGCATGTAACTTGGAGATTTTGAATAATGGCTACGGAGAGCTCTATTAAAAACATTGTTCATTTTTAATGGATTAGGGTTATATCCTATCATTTATTACTATAAGCCCTAAAAATATAATAAAATACATTATAATAATTATATAAAATACAACAATAAACAACTGATATTTATATAGCAATTTAAAGTTTGCCAAATACCTTCATATACTTTATATACATTATCTCAAAACTACCTTAAGAGATATTGAAGATACTATTATTCCCATTTTACAGGTTAAAAATTGAGGATCAGAGAGTTTAAGTGAGTTGCCCACAGCTCATAAGTATCAGAGGTGGCTTTTGAACCCATGTTCTGGACTCACAGTTCCTCTGAAGTTTCAAAGATTCTTAGCTCAGGTGAGGCTGTAGCTCTCACACCTTCCTCCCTGGGCTTTTATTTGTACAGCTTAGGTCAGCTTATGTCTCTGCTGCTTGGAGGGTTTTTTTTTAATTTTTTGAGCTAAGTCTTAGCCTAAAAATAAGTTTTTATAAATGTCTTGTTTTTTACATCACCATAGTTCTCCCCAATATCCCTCACCCTCTCCCAGAGAGCCATCACATATAGCAAATAATATTTTTTAAAGATAAAGAAAGAAAAAAGGAAAAAAATCAGCACAACTGATCAATACCTCGAAAAAGTCCAAAAACATGAATGGGTAATTTCTCTGGCTGGACCTCTCACCTCCATGAAGGAGCAGGTTGGGTGTGTCCTCTCATATCTCTCTAAAGTTTGATTTAAATTTAGAGAAATAGGGGAGATTAGGGAGACTTTTAATTTGATTTGATCACAATCAGAGCTACCCGGGGTTAACCTACTGCTGCTGAGGAACTGAATTTATAATCCAGGGAAGATTCTTACCTCAGTTGCCTATCAACTCACTGTCTTCCCAAGGAATTTTGGGGAGGTGGACAAGGAATAAGGGATAAGGACAAGGGACATTGCATCATTGCCCTGGAACCAGAAGCCAAATTAGGTTCTTTGTTCCCCCCTATTTTGCCCCATTCCTGGTTCAGCCCACAAGTCCCAGCCACTGACTTTGAAGGTATTCTACTTCAGAGGAAGCAAATGAGTAGAGTGTGTTTGAAGGAATACTGTCCTGGGAATCAGGAGGCTTGATTTTTGCCATGATGCTCCCTTGTGTACCTTGGGCACTGATCAATACCTCTGATCAATATGCTCACTGTCCGTCCTGCCTGCTCTGTTTTTTGTCTGTTCTCCCTGGGCTGTTTCCTTGTGACCAGAGGGTGTTGTGTCTGTCTGTTAGTGGAGCCTGATCTGTGAGTTGGTACAGCTTGTTGGTGTGTGATAGATGGAGGCAGGACAGGTGCATGTGCATGTCTATGCACCATTTCCTTGGGATAGAGACAGTGTAGGGATCTCAAATCAATGAAAATCAGTTAAAGGTCAAAAGGAGTTCTTGGCTTATTGCAGTAGTGTTCCCCATAGAATTTACCTACCCTTGGCATGTTTTGAGTGACTTCTGTCTCCTGACATCCTAAAATGCTAACATGTTGAAATTATTTGTTTAATGGGAGGACATAGTCTTGACCACCCAGTCTTGCTTTCTAGGAGTGGGGAAAACTGAGGCTTAAAATCCTGTCTAGGGTATGTGTGTCTGCTGTAAGATGAAGGTCCTTTCTCAAGTCTCTGGAGTTGATATGAAACCTCTAATAAGCAAATGGGAACAACTGGTAGGAAGCACCATTTCTCTGCCTCTTCCTCCCCCATCAGTTTAGATGATGGTGACTGGAGCACTGAGAAGTCTTTTGTGTGCAGCTGGAACCTGGATCGTCGGGGGCTGAACCCCAGCCAACCTTCTGCTGTGGTGGAGGTGCCCAGCTCAGTCATGTGCTTAGCGTTCCATCCAACTCAGCCCTCTCACATTGCAGGTGAGCCCCACTCTAGCTTTTCTTGCTTATCCTAATGACCAACACTTTGTTCTTTTCCAGTGTGGCTCCCACCCTCCCAAGTCCTTATCCCTTCCTCCTCAAAATGGGCAGACAGAAGGGCCTGTGGGAAAAATGGATAAACTACTGTGGGCATAACATCATGCTAGGTGTTGTGGAGGATTTAGTTCAATTCAATAACTATCAAATGCCTGTGCCATGCAAGGCAATATGTGCTCAGGGTATAAAGACAAGGAACAGTAAAAATGGTCTTATCTTCAAGGAACTTACATACAGATAATGAAATACAAGATAATTTGGAGAGGGTGGCCCCTGAACTTAGCCTTGAAAGCATCTAAGCATTTTAAGAGGCAAAGGTGAGCAGAGGGCATGCATTCCAGCCCTGGGCCAGTCTGCACCAAGGCTGCTCATCAGGGAAGCTAGAATGTGCCTGATGCTGGTGGAGGCCACAGTAGAAAGAGGAAGCACTCTTAAGACTTGAGGTGGGTCTTGAAGGATATGTGGACCATGAAAGGTAGCAGTGGAACTACACACAGGAAATGGGGTGGTTTTCATGTTTATCTTCTATGTGTGTTTTAGAATGTGGCATGGGGGAAGGGGCTTAGAAGGCAACAGGAAATTGAGGGGGTGTGAGTGTGGGTAGTCTTGCCAAAATTCCCATTCCTTTTCCCTCAGGTGGCCTCTATAGTGGGGAGGTGCTTGTTTGGGACATGAGCCGGCCTGAGGACTCCTTGCTGTGGAGAACAGGAATGACGGATGACACTCACACAGATCCCGTCTATCAGGTCAGCATGGCCCAGCTGCAGGAGACACGTGGAGTTATGTCTGATGCATAGAGGTTCCCTTTAAAGAAACAGAAGCAGCAGCTGATGGGCCTTAGCTCCTCCCTGATTCCTCTTCAAGTGTCTTAAGTGTATTTTACACATGTGTCTTACATGCATTCCCTAGGAAACAGGCTGGGAGCAGACAGGTGGTACAAATGAGCAAGTGGCATCTCTCTGACCTCCTCGTTAGGAAAGTGGTCCACGGGCTCACACTTAACCCAACAAAACGTGAAAGCCCGTCCTCCTAGGAATGAAATCACTGGGAAACGAGTAGACGTTAACTAATAACTAGGTCGGTGATCTCATCGCTCTTCGTTGTCATAACCGTCTCCACCTCCTTGCAGATGCTTCGTAGTCGCCACCCTCTGGCCCAGGTTCCTATACTAGAAATGTCTAGACACAAGTGTCACTGAGCTGTCTCCTGTTGTCCTGGCTTCTGGCTAGCATAGAATCCATAGCATGCCACTGTTTGCCTGCCCTGGGGTCTGGCGCTGTTATGAGAAAACTCCTTGGAGAAGGAGCCTCACATAGCCCATCATAGGGCACTCCGTGTGGGGATCTGAGGGGTCCAGGTTGAAGCCTGGCATGGATTTGGTGAGTGGTCCTCTCTGGCCCATTCTGCCTTCTCTTGTGTCATGGGTGAGGCATTAGAGCAGTTGACAGGGAGGTCAGTAGTGCATAATCTCCTGGGTGGAATGGAGTTTTGTGACCTTTTTTAACCTATGCCCACGGAAGGATGTCGAGGTCATACTGAAGGCCTAGGGGGCAGAACCAGGGGGACACTAGGTAGAAATTACAGGAAAGCAGGGTTAGGCTCTGAGGAAAAACATCCTAATAATCAGAACTGCTCCAGTGCTCAGTGAACTACTTAAGGAAGTACTGGGTTCTCCCATCCCTGGAAGTCTTCACACAGAAGCTTAGAGATTTTATGTTAGAGATTTCTGTTTGAGGTTTGGGTTAGGCCAGATGAGCCCTTCTAATTTTGTGATTTTCGTTCTCATGAAGGAAGGGGACATAGATTGGAGGGTAGTGTGGTTTTAGTGAGCATGTGTCTTTGCTCACAAACCTCAACTGTGGTTGCCTCCGGAGATCGCAGAAACCCAGCTCTGTCCTGGAGGATGCTGTCCGCTAGGCACCCAGGGCAGAGAAGTTAGGCTTGAGAGCCCTTAAGAACCCCTTCACTCAGTGCTAATGCCAGGCTCTGCCACTGTGGATCTGTCCTTCAGCTCTCTGGTTCTTCCTCATTTTTGCATTAGCACAGTGGGAAAAAGGAAGGGAACCAAACCCTTGGGAAGTGGGGGAAAGGATGTTAGCTACTTCCTCAGTCAAGGATCCTATGTGCCACTGAGGTGGCCTCTTTCCATTCCCTGCTCCTTGTTGGGCCTCTGCCCACTCTGCCATCTCCATCTCCAGCTGTGTTTCTTCCTTCTCTTGTGGTCTGCACAGGTTGCCTGGCTGCCTGAACCCCGGCACAGCCACCGCTTCCAGCTGTTGAGTGTCTCCACAGATGGGAAGGTGCTGCTGTGGCAGGCAGTTGGTTCAGGGCAGCTGCAGTTGACAGAAGGCTTTGCTCTAGTCATCCAGCAGATCCCCCGAAACACAAAACTGAAGAAGGTGAGCGGGGCCAAGGCTGATATGGAGGGGCCAGGCTTGAGGAAAGGGACCAAGGACATCCTCATGGACCTAGTGTGAAGTTTCTCTCCATGAAATATAAGACCCAATCAGAACTGGTAGTGCCTGTGACCCTCTCCGGCTTGCCTAAACACTAAGGAGGTGGGGAGTCTACTATGGGAAATGCTTCCATTGGTACTGGGGAAGTAGCAGGTAATACCAAGTGGAGGAAAAGGAGGGTGGAGGCTGAAGAGATAGGCTCCTGCCCATGTCTGAACCCACAGAGGCCTAACCCGGCTGGTGACTCCTTGGAAAACAGGGTTGGGCTATAGGACGAATTCTGAGCAACAAGGAAGGAAGTTGGAGGTCTAGTCCTAGTTCTGTCTTCCAAAGCCATGTCTAAAACATGGTCTAGTGGAGGGAACACTGAACTTGATAGTCAGGAAGTTGTGGTCCCTGGTTTATACTAACTGTAAAAACTTTAACCAGATCCCTTCAAAGAAAGGGGCTGGCCTCGACACTCTCTGGTGTCCCTCTGGCTCTCTGATGTCTTCACATGGAGAGATGGGTAGTGTTTGCTGCTGCTGGCCAGAGCGATTTGGGGTTGACCCTCCTATTGCTGTCTTCCTGTAGCCTACCCGGGGTGAAACAGAGGTAGGGGTCACCGCCCTAGCCTTCTCCAGCTTTGACCCCAGCTTGTTTATCCTGGGCACCGAAGGTGGCTTCCCACTCAAATGTTCGACGGCAGTGGAAGTGGCAGCCCTTACCCGAATGCCCAGCTCCCTGCCACTCCGAGCGCCTGCCCAGTTTACCTTCTCTCCTCATGGTGGCCCCATCTACTCTGTGAGCTGCTCACCCTTCCACAGGTAAGGTCCAGGTGTTCCTCAGAGCCAAGCAAGTACGTAGCTTCTTAAATTGTAGGTTGTGGCCCACAGTTTTAAGAAGCGCTAAACACTTAACCCCAATTGCCTTAAAAAAAAAAAAAAAAGAAGCGCTAAAGGGGTCTTGAGTGGAAAAAGTTTAAGAAGCCTTGGGTTAGAGCAGGGGTTCTTAAACTTGAGGTCCAGGAACTTTTTTTTTCCATATTTCAATAACTGAACTGCAGTATAATTGGTTTTCTTTGTGATGCTATGTATTTTATTTTATTCTGAGAAGGGATTCATAGGCTTCACCAGACTGCCAAAAGAAGGGTCCAAGGACCCAAATTAAGAATGCTTGTTCAAAGGGCCCTTTGGCAAGTCACTCCTTTTTGCTCAATGGGGTTGGTGGATGAATTCCTCTTTCCCTTCTTAGGAAAGGCTTCCTTTAATGATTCAGATCCCCTACTCCCTTCTGTGTGGACGAGCAGAATAATCTTTTTTTTTTTAAAGATACATTTTATTTTATTTTTTGCTAAGGAAATGGCTTGTAGGTCATAGGCAAAAGGATTTAAGCTGATCATTACAGCACAAAGGGAAATTACGTGATTTGTATGGCATAGTTATACTTCAATACATGACACATGGATAACATGTGTATTTGTGTGTTGTGTACAGGGTGTCTACCGATTAGATTTATCAGTTTCTACACTGATGTTTCTATTCTTAGCCCAATGTAAACAAAACAGTAAACTGAGCTGCTGATATTCTCCTTAATTTGAATGTCTTAGGACACTGACATAATAGAGCTCAATCATTTCCCTTGAGAATCAGCAAGCAAAAATAGATCACCTTGTAAGATTCAACAAATGCCATCATGGATCTTAGATACAGGAGTATGGTGTGAGAGTCAGACACAGGGAGAAACAAAGACAGAGAGATGAACCCCTCACAGTGCTGGTGTGTACAGGTTCAGATAGAATAATGTTTCTAAAGATTAGGGGGATGTAGAGTGTGGTGCAGAGCCATGGGCTTGGGGTGGAGATCTGAGTGAGGGTCCAGCTCAGACACATTTGCTGTGGCACCTTGGGCCAGGTGTGCACGACTGAATGACTGAGCAGCTTGGGTCAGTCACTTATCCTCATTTCCTCATCTATAAAATGAGGAAGATGGACTCTATGATTCTGTGACCCACTCAGTTTTAATTAAAGGCCCTCTCAAATCTTGGCTGCGTTCACTCTTCCCTTATGTGAACCCAAAGTCTACTTGAGCACGCTTTACCTTTTGCTTCCATGTCTTTGCTCACATCACTTTTCCCCCCTCTTTTTTCATATATTACCCACTCATCAGGGCTCAGGTCAAGTCCCACTTCTATGCTAATACCTGCTATTGTGGCTGTTTATAGTTCAGTTATTTTTTCAGTTGTGTCTGCAACCCCAGTTGAGGTTTTCTTACCAGATACTGGAGTGGTTCGCCATATCCTTCTCCAGCTCATTTTTCAGATGAGGAAACTGAAGCAAACAGGGTTAAGTGACTTGCCCAGGGTCACATTGCTAGGAAGTGTCCTGAGGTCAGATTGGAACCCAGGAACATGGGTCTTTCTGACTCCAGGCCAGGTGCTCTATCCGTTGTGCTACCTAGCTGCCCACCATGGCTCTTCAGCTTCCTGAATTTCCATGGTACTCACTTTGGGTTCTACTCAATAGCATTTATATCGGAGAATATTAATATAGCATATACTGCTTATTGTTATTTATCTTTGCAAGGTGTCTTGTAATCTTTTGTACATTAGGAAATGTTGGGAGATAAAACACAGGCCCAGCATACTGGCGTTGTTTAGCATTTTTGCTGCCTTTTAGTACGGAAGACCAGGTTTTTGGGTATGTATATTGACAAAGGCCCACTGGGTAGACTGACTTGCTCCCTTCTTTCCCCTAGGAACTTGTTTCTGAGTGCTGGGACAGATGGGCACATCCACCTCTATTCCATGCTGCAGGCCCAGCCCTTGACGTCTCTCCAGCTATCCCACAAGTACTTGTTTAGCGTTCGCTGGTCTCCTGTCCGTCCCTTGGTCTTTGCTGCTGCCTCCGGGGAAGGTAAGAAGGCTTTCCTTTGTTTTAGGAAGCCTAATTGTTTAGGATAAACTCCTTCTCCCATTCCTCTTTTAAATCACCCATGGAAAGAGACAGCAGCTTACTTCTAGACAATTTAGTTCTCATTTCTTTCTTTTTTTTGGTGAGGGATTTGGGGTTAAGTGACTTGCCCAGAGTCACACAGCTAGTGAGTGTTGTGTGTGAGGCCACATTTGAACTCGGGTCCTCCTGACTCCAGGGCTGGTGGTTGAAGTTCTCGTTTCTTCATTAGAATATGGAATGAGATTGTCAAAGCTATAGCAATTTTAGTTGATTTTAATTCTGGGTCTGTGTTTCTGGAAGCCTGGCTTTAGATGGTAGGGTGCAAAGAGGAAAATTGCTTCTTACCTTTTTGACTCAGAACAGACTCATCTTTAAAGCCAAGTGAGAGAGTTCCTGTCCTCAAAGAGTTTACATTTTCACCTTTTTCTTAAAGGGGACATACAGCTGTTTGATCTCAGAAAGAGCTCCCAGAAGCCCACAGTTTCTATCAAGCAAACCCCAGATGAAAGCCCAGTATACTGTCTGGAATTCAATCTTCAACAGACTAATCTCCTGGCTGCTGGGGATGCCAAAGGTGTTGTAAAGATATGGCAGCTGAGCACAGAGTTCACAGAACAAGCACCCCGGGAAACCGAAGACTTGGACCAATTGGCAACTGAGGTGGCCAGCTGAGGACACCAGGCTTCCCTTTTGCCAGGTGGCAGTGATGAGCAGAAGCGAGCCGCATAGGGCCTTTATACTGCTTACCCATGGCACAAGGAATGCTGTTCAAGGCTTGGAGAATTCTGCTCCTATGAGCAGATACTTGAGTTTTTGGGTGTTCCTCAGATATAATATACATAAAGACTAACATTTGCTAATGATTAAAAAAGAAAAAAAGCTTTTTTGGGGGATGAATCATTTATTTATCTTTTGCATACAGAAAATTGGGAGGAAACAGGAATGAAGTGAAGCCAGCTTTATAGAATTTTTCCCCTTTAGGTCTGGTTGGGGCAAGCCGGTTTTAGGACATATAGGAGACAGGGTGGAATCCCAAATTTTACACATATATCTCCTGACACTGATCCAGCCATTTCAACTGGACTCAACATTTTATTGAAGCACCGTTTTCTCTAATATCCCCAAGCTAAGCAGGTTTAAGGTTACATTTGGAAGTAACACTGTCTGAATTTTTTTTCCTTTAAGAGCACAAAGATGGACAGACATGCAGTGAGGCAGCAAGACGAGCAGTGTTTGGCTGTGGCTAACACTAGGGGTTGTGGATCAATTCACAAAGAGAGAACGGGTAAATTCTACGTAGTCAAAAGCAGAGGGGAGTTCACGGCCCTTGCCATCAACATAGGGCTTCATGTGTGAGATGCAGTAGTCTGCTTGCTCCCGTGTCAGATTCTGAAAGGGGAAAAGAAAAGAGAGAGATTAGGGCTGGCATCACCTCACCCCGAGTACAAGGAAGCTCAACTTTTGTCTCTAACCAGCACTGACTCTAGCTGTGGAGGGCAGAATCTCTTGGGAGCCCCACTTATTGGTTCCTCATTACACAGAAGAATGATGACACAAATGATGACACTTTTTAGAAGACTATAGAACTGACAGTCTGCAGACTTAGTCAATGGAGACCACAATCCCTGCACAGAGCTGATCAGAATATCAGTGAGAAAATCATGACCTCCTAAGTACATGAATTGGTTGAGAGGTAGCTTCTAGTCCAGATTCTACCACTGACCAACTGGCTTTATGGTAAAGTCACAAAGGCACAAGAGGCTGTTACCAGTATTTCAAGGGGGGACATTCCCTAAAGGGTGTTGTTAGAAGTGCTTTAAAAATGTTCAGTGCTAGCATATAAGGTTTTGGTATATCCTGTTTTTAGACCTGATAAGGTATGTTCAGTCTGCAGCTTACAGGAAGATAGATTCTGGCTCAGTGGAAAGAGTATATATAACAGACATGGAATGGGGCTGCCTTGTGAGATTCCCGTCACTGGTGATGCTCAAATTCTCCACCCTGGCCTCAGTGTGATTCATTATAAAACCCAGTGATGGAAGCTTCCATTCTCTTCCTGAGACAAGAACGCCCAACAGTCAGTCACCTGGTGGATCAGAGTCATGCATTTCACGCATACCTGGTACAATTCTTCCTTGGTCACATAGGGTTTTCCCTCAGAACTGAGGGCACGGAAAGCACTCTCAATCTCCTCGCTGGATTTGACATTTTCAGTCTCTCGGCTTATCATAAAAGCCATGTATTCTTGCAGTGATACATGGCCATCCCTGGGAAAGGAACAAAGGGAAATGAGTAAAACAATAGAGCATCCATCCTAGAGACTGTGAACGTGTTTTAGCCTGGACATCACCCTGCATGATCCTGTGGCTCCTGCCCACTTATTGTGTTCTGGAATTGTACCTGTTTGGATCCACAGTGTCAAGGATAGCTTCAAACTCAGGGTCTGGTTCTCCTTCTTCCACCATAGGCAGGTCATAGCCCAGGGAACGCAAGCAAGATTTAAACTCTTGGTGATTGAGTCGACCAGATTTATCCTTGTCAAAATGTCTGGAATGCAGAGAGTCAGGGAATTAGAGTTGGCAGAATTGTGTTGGGAAGCATGAAGCCCAAAGTGACACACCTCCCTTTAGAAACCTCCCTGGGGAACTGTGGCAGTACTCACTTAAACATCATGCTGAACTCCTTCAGGGCCTCTTCAGTTACACCAGTTGTATTCCTGTGAACAAAAGCATAGTTAGGAACTTGTCCACGTAGCCCGGGCACTTGTATATGCCAGCAACTGGGTGATCACTGTTTTTTTGCCAATACAAAATTTGTCCCTTCTAAACACTTGAGTCCCTAGAGAATCCCAAAAACCAGATGACTAGCTATTAAGTGGTTGTTATATTTTCATTACTTTTCCTGTTGATCCCAAGATTATTACCCTCCTTTTATCTAAACTCTCTAAGACCCACCACCCTAAGTTTTCATGAGAAGTAATGAAGGAATTTCTTCTCATTCACCATAAAGCAGCCTAACATCTGGGGAAGACGCAGTAGAGGCATACCTGGCCTGGATCTGCTGCTCCAGGTTGTGCTGCATTCGCATCCCAAGTTGGTCCAATTGATCCCACTGTTGGGCCAGCCCTACAGTGCTATGCTCAGTGTATTTGTTGTCCAGGATAAGGGCTTCCTCCATGGCTGCCCCCAGGTCCTCAATCTTCTTCAGTTGACTCCTCATGGCCCGGATCTCCTGGTGCTTACGCTGTGGGTGGGAAGAGTTGGTGGTAAGGATGGCTATTCCCATATATTTTTTCACTTTTTGAGAATAAAAGGCTGTTGGATGCAGGATTTTTATTTTTACTAAAACAAGAGGCCTAGTGAAGGCATGAGGAAGAAGAAAAGAATCCCTGGTTCTCAAAGAGCAGGGCCCCCTGGCAGCCCCTGGGTGTTAAACACCTTGTGCCAAACTGTGGATCTAACTGAAGCTAAGGAGGAAAATGCCATAACCTCATGGGGGAGGAGGTGCCTGCTTTACTCCCAGGAAGCAGGGCCACTCCAGCAAGCAACTGCAGAGACCAGGAGCCATGCCTGGCACACTTACTTTAGTGGCTTCCAGCTGGGATTCCAGGGTCCCAGATTCTTCTACCATACAGGACCTAGACAAAGAAGCACGATAAACATTTTGGGAAGGAACAATGGGTTGGGGGCTTAAAATTAACCCCATCCCTTCAGGAATGAAATAATACGTTTTGCATTCCACGTAAGTCCCTTTCTTCATGGAGCACAAAACACATCTTTCATTAACTAACATCACTTCAGAAACGCCCCATGAGGTAGCTAAGGCAAATTTATCTCCATTTTATAGATTAGGAAACTGAGACTCAACAGGGATAAGGCAAGTTTGAGAATGGAGACAGGAATAGAACCGAAGCCTCCTACCTCCTTAGCCCGGTACTCTACCCATTCATTGTACTTTTAAAAACTACACCAGCCTTACTATATTACACCAAAGGCCTATTTCCCCATGTTTTTCCAGTCCCAGTATTTTAAATGAAGATTGGTTACTTCAGGCAGTCATTTTAGTGACCTTCTTAAGGACTTGGGAGTATGTTTCAAGTCCCATGACTCCCATGGAAAGAACTGGGAGATATGTTGTGCTCAATTTGAAGTGCTCATCTCTCTCCCCATCTTGTAAGATTAGAAACACAGTGCAGCTCCAACAACCGTGCTCTACATACTACAACAGTAGGAGACTTGGGAAAGGACGACATATATGGCCAAGATGAGAGAGGAGGTTAGAAGCCAAACTGTTTCCTTAAGGTTCGGTTGCCAGGGGCTCAATCTCAGGGCCTTTTTGCAATCTGTTCACTGTGGGGGGGGGGGGGGGAGGAACTATGGTGCCGACACCAAAGAGTATGGATATAAGCAACACTGAAAATGAGATCAATATCTTAGAGTAAATTGAATAATCTTTTCTGCTTAAGAGTTGCTAAGACCATTGGCATTTGTTATTTTTAAAAGTTTTTGTAAAGCCCTGACAGTTTGGCCCAATGAGGAAAACAACACTGGCTGGTCTCCTAGATTCCTGTTCCCGACTCTAGGTTATGTATCTGCACAAGGTTTTGATGTTGATGTGCAAAGGCTGCATGTGAATAGTAATGATGTGCTTTGGTTCTGAGATGCTCTGGTCTCTGAATGTGTCACTGTGAGGTTTCACAGCAGGCAACTAGTGAACAAAGAACAAGTTGTGGTTACCATGCAAGGACAAGGTAACACCGTGTTTTTGATGGAGGTGTATATGCCACCTATTACCTCTTCCCCTGGAAACTACCTTTCCATATCCCTGGGGGGTTAGAGAATGTGGTTTCACTGGGATAGAGAATTTCTCGTAAAAAAAAAAACCAAAAAACCCAAAAAACAACCCAGTAACAACATAACGAAACAAAACTTCCTCTACTAGCAGTTATGGGCCTGCCAGAGGCAGGACTCCCAGGATTTCTCTCTAGGTATGATGATACTCTGCTGCCCCTTGAAACTGAGGAAATTGCTCTAGCAATGGAAATCAATAAAGCTTTCTCCTATGACAGCAGGTCAGAGCTAGTTATGCTCTATTCCCATGGGAAAAACACACACCAGGACCTCAGGTGGGGTGGCAGGGCAGGGTGGGAGTCCAGGCACTGGTGCAGGGGAAAGGACAGAGGCTCCTCCTTCCCAAGCGGCCACAGGCAGTGAGTTAGTGAGGAAGCAGAGCCGCCCAGGAAGTCAAGAGTGCATTGGGAAAACCACAGTGAGGTAAGAAGAGAAAATAAGAGGAGAAAAACCTTCCAGACAGATCATCCCCAACTTCATACTGATAGACACGAATGACCCGACGATATGCTATGCTATTCAAAGAAAAGAAACCAAATGAATACACACCAAAGGAGGAAAAAGGGAAAGAGGCAAGAGCATATAGACAGAAATACACTATGAGGTCTGAGCTGGCAATGCACAGAGAACAGTAACATCAAAGCCAAGGCAGGCGTCCAGTGGTGGACTAGAACCTCTACCCACGAGGGACCACAGGCAGGCACTTTTTTAACTCAAGAGGACTACAGTGGAAAGGGACATGGACTTTTTGGGACCCAAAAGGAAAATGGAGCATTTTACTTCACTCAGCCACGATTGGCAGATATAGACGCGAGGGCTTAGAGGGTGAGAGTCTGGGAAGGAGAGCCAGGTGGCCAATTGTTCCAGAGGTCTCAAAGTTTCTTTGGTGCGGACCTCTTGCTAAAAATCCCCTTTCCACTTTCCCAGTAGTGACCTCATCCTGGTTCTGACCTTCTCCCCCCAAGCTGCTGTTCATAAGACCACAATGGTCCCACCAGCCAATTCTTTAAACAAAGAAGTGGTGGTACTAAGGT